AGTGGAGTAAGGGAACACTACTTTCACCATCTAGCATAGAAAGAATTTTACCCTCATCAAGCATCCAGTGGAAAGGTATGCTTTTTCCAGACCCAGAAAACCTTTCTGATCCAAGCAAGTACATTCTAGTTGACTTCCAAAGGCCAGAGTTTCCTTTGACAAGTGTTGTTGACCCTTGGTATCCAGAAGTTGGTGATATGTTACTTATCAAAGGTGATGATCCAGTACCAGGGCGGGGTTTAGTTCTAGCAGTGCACATGAGGAACAAAACTGTGCGAGTGCAGTTGTTTGTACCACATCCTTGGTGGGGTAGACAGTCTGGCCTTTGGGTGCATGAAGGTACATGACCTTGAGAAGTGCACATCAAGAGCATGCTTGGAAGTTGTACAGGACATTGGCAGGGAAACAACAGCATCTTCAAAGAACTGTAGACTTAGATGCTACTGACATTAGAAAGAACCAGTAGCCAAAAAGCAAAACAAAACAAAACAAAAAAAGAAAACAAATTCCATTTGGAGAATGGTTCATGTGAGTTTTATTAGACGTAATAATTATATTTGTTTTAAGAATAATCTGTTTACATGTATGTACCAGTTACCACGATACAACATTAACTACTGGACAGTATTGCTGTGTACTGAAGGTGGGAAATTTTCCATTTTAACCTCATGTTGTTCCCAACATTTGGGATTTGATAAAATTCCCACTTAATTTCCAACGTTGGTTCATTGTTTTCCACTCAATGCCCAATACTGGGTTTTTACTTTGGGAATTCTTTATCATCCTTCCAGACTTAGAACATATTTTTATGTTAATTCCCATTGAACTCCCAAGTTTGCTACTTTAGTACCCAAAACAGGGAGTTTACTTTGGTAATTTATTTTGCTTTCCCAATAATTCCCAATTTTTGGAAATTGCCTTTTTTCCTGGTAATAAAAACCCAACAAACTCTCAAGGTTGGGTCTTTCAAACTCAATGAATTCCTAAACATATATTGTCATCATTGAATTTTTGTGTTTTTCCCATACAATACCCCAAATTGGGTTTTGAGAATGTGAATTTATTGGAAAATCCCAACTTGGGAATCTGGTATTTTTTCCTGTGAACAGGTGGTTTCTCTACTTGTTGAGTACGCCACATTCGAGTTCACTACTTACATGCCAAATTTGTTACTTACTTCATCCTACCATTCTATCATTCCACTTCCACGATCTTTTAGAACCAACATCTTGTTTTGAAGAAATCTGCTTAACTCAATACGAAATGGGCACCATGTTTTGGCATATTATCGCGATTATTATCGAGCCTGCGCATGCATCGCTCACAATGGAACAGTGGCATTAACAAGAGGGAGAAAGCACACAACCAGTAGAGAAGAGTCAAAATTATTTATTTTACAGTGCTATATTTCAGAGTCTATATGCATGCTAAAAAGATTTCTATTCAGAGGAATACAAACAAATTGAATCTAGGGGTACTGAATCTAGGCTACCACACACAGCACTTGAAAAGCTTATTATGTAACATTGATTACAATTATCAACTAAAATCTTACTTTGATTACAATTATTATCATATAAAATCCTAAATCTTACTTAACTGAAAGGAACATTGAAACCTTGTAGCAAAACCCAAAAATGGCATGAAAGTAAGGGTATTGAATTTAGGTTATGCACATGTAAATTTTATAATAGCAATCCTCAACAATCCCAATTAGCTTAACCTAAACTTCTGAGTCTAGGTTATATGTGATTGGTGATAGCTAATGGATTCTCTTTATTTAGTTCAAAATTGCAAAGCAGTGATATGTGATGCTTTCTTGAGAAGACAGTTTGCTGAAATGTCTCCTTTCTCAAACTTCTCTCATGCATCAAATAGACAGGCTTGTATGTTATGACATACTGTTAATGCTGGATCCTCTTCAGCTTTCTCTCCATTACAAGGCAAACCGGAAGGGATGCCAGTTTTGTTTCCTTGAAGAGTAACTCAATGAGCAGGTACAACAATATCTGTGATTTTCTTTGTGCTTGACAATTTAGGCCATGGTGCCACCCTTTTGTGTCACTCTTTGTTCTCACGAACCATTGGAATATGCTCCAGGAGGACAGGTGCCACATGGTGCTGCTAATCCAGGTCTTTTTAATATAATGGGTGAAGGCTTGTAAAGGTTCTGTTACTCCTTTAGTTTCTAGTTGGTGGGAGGTAGCTGGAATCTCTTCAGCTGGTAAAAAAGGCTGGGCTTAAAGTTTCCTGATAAGGCAATGTGTGCCACATTCATTTATGTAGGCTTATTGGAGACCTAGTTCCTGGACTTACAGCAGGAAAGAACAAACCAGAGTTTAGTTTGAGTTTATTGTTAAGCATATTACATTAGCATATAGCACTTTGATACTAAGTTTTTTATTTTTTATTTTTAAATTGAAACTGTAGTTCATGCATCAAATTGAATCAACTGCAGATATTGCCTCTGGTTCATGGTTAAAAGAGAAATTAAAACTGTGAATTAACAGAGGCAGCAAATTTGGCATGTTAGTAGCAAACATTTAGCAAACTTGAATGTAGTGAACTTGACGAGTAACAAAACCAGTATAAAGCACCCCATGTTAGCTTCATGTGAGTCATAGTTTTAAAAAATCCAGCGCAAAAAGGAGAAATGTCACTTTGATCAACCAAGCTTCGAAATAAAAAATTGTAAATTTTATTGTGACTTTTTAGGTAGAATGACCTGAAAACTATATGCTTTGTAGTTGGTTGTTGCCTGTCACAGTTTTAACGCATGGCTGTGACATGCACTGTGAAATACATGTAGGTTTGCACTTTTCCTTGTCTTACTTTTCTGTCCATTGTGTATTGCACAGTACTTTTTGCCATGCATCCTCTCAGATATGGAGTGCTTGCATTTGAGAAATTTTTGTATACTGCAGAGATACTTGTGATCAGTTCTTTCCCACAAGTGCAACCAGAAATTTCCTTCCAGTCAGGTTGTATCAAATTTCAAAGGCACCACTGTTACAAAAAAGTGCTTAAAGCACAGAACAAGGATTGGTTTCCGTACAACATTTCCCAGTAGGGTGCATCTAGTGATTGGGCCTTTGCTCACAGGCAACCTTCTCTCTGAAGCAATCATTCTTGTGATATTCAGGTCCAACTTTGACTGTTCTTAAATCACTGTTATGGACTTACTTTTTAAAATTAGCATATCATCTTATATCATATGCATTTGTACTGTTTTATTTTTTACTTATACTTTGATTTAAATTTTAGTCTTGCAATATAAAGTTCTTCAGAAAATTACATAATTTCAGTGCTTTTGTTGTGTATTCATTTAGTGGAGACATTCACTCTTCAATTGCTTTCTATATTAAATTTTATTATATTATTCAGGACAATGTTCAAAGAATCAAGGAATATAACTATTGTACTCACAAGCTTTGAAATCCGACTATGGTTAATTCAATAGTGAATGAACTCAGTGTCTCTTTCTTTGGCCTCAGTTATTATGTGCATCCTCTGGCTCAATTTTCAGTTACTCCTAAAGGTAATTGAAGACATGCTCCCATTAATTGAGTGGAAGTCAAAACATTTGTACTCGGTAGGTTATAAGCCTTTTATAGAGTCTGCTAATTCCACAAAATTAGTGCTAAAGTATAGCTTTATTTAAATTCAAAGTCATGCCAGGGAAAGAGGTACAGTTTAAATGATAAATTACAGTGAAAATTTGTCTTTACTAAAATTAAACTTTCTTGTCATCAAGTGTTTTGTTACTTTAAAGTATCCTACATTAAAATGCAAAATATCCAGGTGAGTTCAACATACACCAGGAAATACTTTGAAAATATGAAGCAATAATGTATACAAGGGTAACTTTAAGTTCTGACAGTGCAAACTGATCATTATGATCATTAAAAATGCCACAAAAGATGTGGACAAGTAATGTTTACATGTTCGTGTGATAATCCTTGAAGAACACATCTTGACAAAGTGTGACTCCACACTGAACGCACTTGAACTTTGTCTTAATTGGGTAACCCTTAGTCATTTCCTCGCCTTTCGCTCTGCAGTTAACAAACTGCTTCTTGTGGCTGTCAATTTTTGTGCTTGTGTGGCCCTCTGGGGCACAAACAAATGGTGGAGCACTGTTTGCAGGTTGCTTTCGCTAGTTGAAATTTCTAGTGAGTTGCTCGCCTAATTTGAGGCGGAAGCCATGTTGTGGGCATTTTGTGTGGCTTTGGGACCCTAAGACATACACACTCGGAAATCGATGCTTCAAGTTGGCCAACTTTCAATTTGGCCATGAGTAACCTGTGGTCAAGTTTAACTAAATCATGTACTGTTGAAAAGAAAGTCTTCCTTTGAAGGCAATCATTCCTTCACTCACAGCAATGTGCTTGTTGGAGGAATAGCATTGTTGGCTGGTTTTTAGAACATTTAGTACAGGTTGCACTTTAAATAGAGGGTTGTATCCCTCTTCTCCACATGCTGGCATTTGGTTTGAGTTGTTAGAGTGCAAGAACTTTAACTTGTTATCTATGTATGATGACTTTTATTTTATTTTACAAGGCCTCACAAAATACCACTTTCCAGTGACATGAGCCCCCTGTATAAAGACTGTTATTATTATTGTTATTATTATCATCATCGTCATCATCATTATTATTTTGGTAAACTCTATTGGTAAAATAGTTCAATGTATATATCAACATCATTGCAGGCACAGCCTAGGCAATGAGGATTAGGATATAAAACATATATATGTACAGGCTGTGTAAGTTTATATAAGTTTAAAATAATGAAAAGTAACAAAAAATACACCCTTGAATGAGATAACAATTCTCATTGTTCATGTACCTAAGGGGCACAGTATATAATACTAAAATCTGTTCTTTCAACTATTATATTCATGCATTTACATAGTTGTACGTACCAAAATCTCTTTAGAATTTCACAGTTGTGTGAAATAACCCATATTTGGGAACATTCAATTGTTTGCCTTGCTACTTTCAGCCCAAAAAAAATAAGTAAATATTCAGTTCTTTATCCAGGTCTTTGTCGTATGCACCAAGATATTCAAATACTATGGTGATAAGCTTCACTTTATAACCGAGATACAAGTTCTTTATCCCCAGTTTAAGGTCTACATACTTGTTCTGTTTGTACTTGATTATTTCAGCAATTGTTCCTGGAGTAGATATCGTACCTTCCATGAGAGACCATTCTTTGTATTTCTTGTCAAGGATACTAACGTCTGGCTTGTTTGTATTGTTTGCACTGTCCTTAGGACATTTTTCAAGTTGCCATGGTATGTCCCAAAATATCTTTACTTTGTTGTTTTCTTGGCTTGGTAGTGTATGTGATTGCATGAACCACGGAGAAGAATAATCAGACTCATCAAATCCATATTTTTCGCGAAGAGCATGATAGACAGGGCAGCGGATTTTGTTATACTGAGTTTTGTATAGTGACTGAGCTATACGTGAACAGCCACAAAGTACATGTGATACAGTCTCCTGTTTCTCAAACCAGAGTAGGCAGAACAGGTCCTCTACTTGTTCATATACCTTCTGGGATCTGTAGGTCTTGGTATTCAGGAGTTGTTGTCTGATACTTGTGTTGATTGACATTATGGTGTCAAGGATGTTCTTCCACTGTTTAAGGATGTCGTATGAATTATTTGATATTTGAGAATCACTCCAATGTTGGGTCACAAATTTACCAACCCACAGTTGGTTTTGTAGATCTTTAATGCGTCTGTCAGTGTTCACCTTGTTTATAATGCTCTTTGCTTTCTGAGGTTCCTTATCGCTTACACACATATCTTGGTCACCATTTCTTAAGACTGTGGCATTGTCATCAAAATCACATTGTATCCTTGGTTCTTCTGTGTACTTCTTGGCATCTTTAAATATGGATCTTAAATGACTTTGTTTGTTTTTCAGCTGGTATGACTTTACGAGTTTGATGTGTTGATCTTTTGAGTTGCTGATGTAGTTAGCTACTTTCAACTTGGTCTTCTTGTATAATGTTTCTAACTTGACTAATCCTTTCCCTCCTTGTTCTGGCTGTAAGTAAAATAATGGTGTTGATTCATACTTGTGTTTTCAACTACAGTCATTGATAACTTTCCTTGTTAGTCTGTCGAGTTCTTTGAGGTGATTGAGGCACCAGTCAGTGGTCCACATTTAGTACTGCTAGACAGGTGTGACATAAACATTAGTAGCACAGACTTTGCATGGTATTGACAATTGAGAAGTCCAAACTGCCTAAAGTCGATCCTCATACTCCTTGGAAGCTTCTTCAATAACTCTATCCTCTAGATGCTGAGTGTTCTGGTACTTCTCTAGGAATTTGTAATGATCTTCGCTACCTATAACTAGGTTGGAGCAGTTGTTACTTACAGGCATTTCAGTGGTGATTTTTCTGACTGGAGCATGTGATAGTCCAACACGGCCCCCCCTTCAAATCGACGAAAAGCCTCAAGTGTCAAAACCCAGTGAATTCACCATAATCATCAATTTAACATGAGGCAAGGCCACTGATCATGTTGATCAAAGACTCAGTTGTTCATTGCATGCATTGCAAGATTTGCAATGAAATTGAAATTTTCCAGCTTATAATCCACTGTAAATTTTCTATTTGACGATGAGTGAGCCAGTACAGTTTACAGGTAGGAGAGTCAGTCCTTGCACATTTTTGTTTTTCCAAGGAAACTGTTGTTTTTTTGATCTGATTTTCTGAATTCATAAACGTATTAGAAACATCATTTTCTGTAAGCGTTATTCGTCAGCCTATATTTTCTTCTAAAATACTTATTTTTTGAAACCACTTTGAATTTTCAGTCAGCAATTGTTTCAATGATTCACGAAATTTTGTAAAACTCATTTACCACACAATTTTTGTGTGAATCACTTTTAGCTAAATTTGTTAGCTTAAGTTTTCATGTGAAATGGTGCAACAAAATTTCACAGTCGATTTTCATGAAATGCTGCATGTGCTGTTCGTTAAAGCCATAGAGGAGCTTATTGTTCAGATGTTCACTTAGTTCATAATTTGTGTCTTTCTGCCCTTTATGGGTCAATGCCATATTTAGATAATAACATCTAAAGGAAAGGGGAGTCGGGGGGGGACTTGGATTGTGGGTTTGATCTTTACCTCTCGTATTTAATCGCGACCTGGTTATTAAGAGACCAATCAGAATCCTTAGAATAGCACTCTATTTATTATATTCTCTTTGCCAGAGTTGCATTTTAGTTGATAATTGGTATGAATTTTTAAGTCTTCCATCCAAGCCACTAGCTGATGACATTTAATATGTTGAATTAGTAGGGATTTAATTTTAGCCAAATATGAGTCGTCTTAAGCTGAGTCTGGAGCCAGACAGATAAGGAAAGTATAAAGTAAAGTGCTCTTCCTCTCATAACAGAACCATCCTCAAGAGCTCCGATAAAGGAGCTTTATGAGGTCCCAGGTATTCTCTTCTGAAAAGCATCCCACAGATGAAAAAGCTGCTGATCAAAGATATAGCTTGTATTTGTGGGGCTTCCTGGCCAATACCCTGCATGTACAACATCACTTAGGGACCAGGATGAAGAAATAAAATTGCACTGGCTACATTGGATGATAGACTTGTTTAAATCAAATCTTTCTGGAACAAAGAAAATATACAAGCATTAATTTTGCAAAACAGAAAAAAAAACAGGCTGAGAAAAATGCACTGCTGTGTTTTACAAATCAATGCCTCCTGATCACAGGAAGATTTTCCATCAAGGTACAGATAAAGAGCAAATTATTTTTCATTTCTATGAACATGACTTGTAACTCATTAAGTCTAAACACTACCTTTCTCATTCACAACAATGACCACTCTTGAAGTTGTTAATTGGCGTAAAACCCCAGCCTCTTTACAGCTTGGGCAGTACTTAGGCAAACTGATGAATTGAAATGGCTCAACTTGCAGAGGAAAAAGACAACAAACCAGTTCAGGTTATTGATAACATAAATATAACTTGCATTTTGGTAAATAACCAGTGACTGGATTTCATAATCATTTAACTGAAAATCTACATACATGTATAGTGTAAGCTACCTTAAAAGAAAGCAACCCATATAACACTAAAAAAACAATGATGGTCAGCACAAATTTGTTTCAACAATGTCCTCACTTGATGATTTTGGACTATCTTCACTATCGACGCCGATATCAAAAGACCTTTGATTAGAGCTTTCTTCGTGATTCTCAGAAGACTCTAATCCATCTGGCAGAGCTGCTGTAGCTGGTGAGCCACCCCAGATCTCAGAACAGTGTTTGTAAAAGATCATCACGACTCTATCATGCCCACTTCATCTTCCATTATCGACAGCTTGTCTGTACTTGCTTCAAATGGCTTTTAGTTTTGACGTTAAAACAGACTTCGTTAACTCATCCTTCTTGTGTGGAAAATCTTTGCCAATAGCAGCAGCATCTTCTGGCGAGGGATAATGAGCACTGTAAGCTCCGAGAATCTCGCCATACTTGTCAACACAAGATTCCCAGTCGATGCTTTTGGCGATTTGCTTCGTTTTGTATTCTTTTGTGACCGTCAGCAGTAGTTCAACTTCATCATCGGTCCATTTATATGTATTAGCATACTTTTTCTTGCCTTTTTCAGTAGATTTAGGCATTTTTTCAAGTGATAACCTACAAGCTTCAACTGTTTACACCTTGCAGTAGCTGTGGCGTGAAAGAAATGGCGCCTAAATCGCAATTATGTGCATGTTCATTTCAGGATTCTCTCCAGCAAAAGAACTGGGCACTAGAGCAAATCAGAAAATTTCCGGATACAATCGGATACGTGTGAACGGCTGAAAACGATTCGAATACGCTGCGTGTGGACACGAAAATTTTCGCATCCGCAAAAAAAAATTTGCAGAAAAAAAAGTTTCCGGATACGTGCGGACATGGCCTTACTCAATAAAATTTAAAACTGACAGTGTGCAAGGTAATAATTCATTTTGTGCATGACTAGTTATTGGCTCATTCTTTCTCTTGCATTCCTTCACACCTGCTGGGACTATAAGTCTCATAGTTTGTGCTATAGAGAGAATATCTCCATCTGTACTATCTGCCATGGTAACAGAAGCTAACTGTAGGGATGGTGTTGCATTTCCCTGGAATAAGTTAAGCAAATTAGTAAAGCTTTTGGATTTGGGTGTGTATGTGAACCATTCAGCTCTACCTGCTAAAAGGTAGAGGAAATGAATCCTTGTGAAACTTGCTCCAAAGAGTCCCCATGTTGTTATGAGGATATTTCTCTTAAAGAACAAGGTGCTCAACAAATCGCCATTCATGCCTTCCTGCTTCAGAATTAAGGAACCTTTCATCACCATCAACAGGATTATTATCAAAATGAGTTAGCAAAACCTCAAGTTTCTTGCTCCAGGCCTGGATATCAGTGGTTGGTACAAATGATGCTCCCTTCACTATTCCAAGTCATTGTGGAAACAGTATAGATGTTGATTTGATTTTAAGGTAGATCAGCAGTAGAACTTGATATGTTAACAAACAAAAAAAAAACTCAAGAACTTGTTGCTGTGCAGTAAAATAATTGTAAAGTTTTATACTTCTGTGGAGGGTGGTGTTACTTATGACTTAGGGTGGTGGGGATTTTGGATCTCCCTGTAAAAAGTTCATCAATTGGTCATAAAGCACATGTAGAACGGCAGCCAGCCTTAAAACACCTCTGTCATCTTTGGAAACATTCTCAGGTGAACATGTTATGCGTTCATTGGCTACTCAGTGACTGTGATATCCCATCAATGAAGTCTTCATATCTTTCCACTGCCATTCATTAGCCATTTACTTTTTATTACACTGACAACTAGGTGCTGAAATGGTTAGGCCAAGCTCACTTTATACCTGAACTTCTCAAAGGAGTAGATTTTCTGAAAACTTGCAAAAACTCTAAAGTTACCTGAGATCTTTCACAGGACAGTCATTCAGCCTCATGATGAACTCTCGCATCTCGTGGACTGCCAAGTACCACCATCTCATCTTTCCTTCAACCAGACATAAATGGGGAAAAATCAATTTGGCTTACTGTATCACTTGATGAAACCCCTGGATTGTTGGTGTTGACCTGGTGTGCTATCTTTAATAAATGAGGTTTGTATGTATGTAATGTAGGTTTAATAGTGACATCACTTGTTTTTACTAAAACAATATTATTTTTAATATTTAAAAAAAATCAAAAGAATACTATGCCATGATTATCAGCAAAAAAGCTTAGTTACTCGGTAACCCAAAGAAAAGAAGGCAAAATTTAACTTATCTGAGGAAGAGTTGAAACTTGCTTTTACCCTCCCATAGAGTGGCCTTTGAACCTTATGTAAAAACCTTTTAATACAAAATTTTGAGTTCAATACTTTATGCAAACAAGAAATTGTTGGAAATTGGATATTGTGAGCTTGACAGATGCACTTTCTGAAACAAAAAAATCAGAAACATTACGTCATTTAAAAATGAGCGGCAAGTCCTGAAGCACTTCAATAATATGGATGAGGTTCTCGGCAGCAGAGCATCAGTTGATCCACACCACATGCTTGAAAGTGGTGCACACATCACTGTCATCAATGGTTCACCAGACGTTGAACGCGATAGCCAAGAAAAAGAGGCCTTGGATGAGGAGATATATATCACTTCTCAAAACCAGAGGGAAAGGCTCACCTAAAAAAATGTCTCCTTCTCAGATGGCCCTTCTTTTGAGTGCATGGATCTGGATAATGCCGACGAATTTGAGGAAGACGAGTCGCTAGACTTTGCATGATCCTTGTTCTTCAAGAGCAAAGCTAAAAACAAAAAGCCACGCGTCAACACACTGAAGAAGTGTGAGGCTGGTGCAGTGGAAAAGCTGGCAAAGCACGGGCCTGAAGTGGGGGAAAAAACAGTGAAGAAGAGTAGCAGAAAGAAGGCCAAAGGCTCTCCAGGAGTGGACTAGGTTACGTTGCTGTCTTTCTTTGAACAATCCTAAGAAAAGGAATTACTTTCAAAACCTTAATGAAACTTGGGTATATATATATATATATATATATATAGATGTGTGTGTGTGTGTATAATTATATAGACAGAGACAGAGAGGAACCAGACATTGTTTTAATTATGCCACAGTCTGAAGTGTGCCCCATGCTTATGTGTGTGGTGCCAATTATTGAAGGCGAACATTCCATAGCATTCTGTTTTTCTCCTCCATCTCCTTTTATATCAATTCTCTCTTTTTCCAACTCTTCTTGTATGTTTCACCCATTTCCTCAATGTTTCCCTCTACAAATGCACAGTTATATCTTCTGAGTTGCTGTGCTTCGTCCTCTTTTTTTCCTCCATTTTTTGGAACTCTTCTTTTTTCTCTATCTCTTTATTCGCTTATTGCAAACTTGGCAAATCATTTAAAACATTGCTTTTATCAACATGCACTGGTCAGGTGGATTGTTTCATACTAAATCTTCCAAAGACTTTCAGTAACAAGTAAACATGACACCCAAAAGTGTTAGCAGCTTTCAACCCTCACAAAAATGGAATCTGAGTCTTTTTTGGCATAGTTTAAAGCCCTGAAGCAAATGATGCCCTTTCCATTTTCTTAAAATCCCCTAAAAATGGAAAGTTTGATTTTAAGGAAGGTGATTGAATAATTCTGATAACAAGGCCAAGGTTGAGTCCTGCTGAAGGTAACCATAGTGGTGGGTGGGGCTAGTATGGCCCTGATTGCCAGGGCATGTTTAAATAAAATAATTACAAGTTGCAAGATATATATATATGTATAAGAATACATGCCCATCAAATAATACATGAATAAAATATAAAATACAAATTAATTTACAATATACAGTATTGTGCAGTGTAAACGAAAATCACCGAATTTTGTGAATTGTTTTTTCGAAATTTCATCAAACCTTGTGGGAAGATTCTCACCTGCACTTTGTGTCATTTCGCTGGAAAAAAGAGCATTATTCCTTTGAATTTTAGTCACTGAGCGAAAATTCACGATGAAAAGCTTGAGAAAGACAAAACAGTTCTCAGCACTACATGCTCAATCTTCATTTCATGTAATGACTATGAAAGAAGAGATTAAAATCTCTTGGCATGGAAGGTTTCAATCACATGCTTGTCTTGCTTTTCTTCAAGTTGAAATTTAAAGTTATGAGGTTTGTCATTTTGCAATGGCTAGTGTGGTTTCATTTCTTAGATTGATGTAAATTTTTTTGGAATATGGCTTCTACAGTTTTCTGCCGGATTTACTCTGAGTTAATTTGTGAGAAGCAACCTTTGAGGTCATGGCATCACAGCATCTAGTGCTAGCGACTGGTTATTATGAGTTCAAGAATGTAAGGATAAAAACACATTTTTCTTTTTCCACACTATCTGTTTTGTAATCAAAAGCATTTATTTCTCAAGAATACGAGAGATAAGTTTCCTAAGTAAGGTTTGTCTTCCAGTGAGATAGTTGTGACTGCTTTGCTTTTGAACTCATTCTGATCCATTGTTTAATTCATTGCCACCTTAGTTACGACGCCCTTCTAACAAACATTTGTATGAATACTCTCCTATTAAATTGTTTGGCTTAGCTCATCCATCCCAAGCCCAATGCACTGCATTCATTGAAAATGGACAAGAAGCAAACTTCAGAACAGAATTTGCAAATGTGTTTGTTTAAGTTTTTGGCATCAGTGAATCTCAGTGCCAGTTAAGGAGATAAGACAAGAACCAAGGCACAACCAATTCATGTAAGAGTTTAACCCAGTGAGCTCCACACCCTTGAGCTCAGACCACCCCCTGAAATTCCAGAGAAAATGGCTGCCATGGTGAACACACAGACCACTGCAAAAATAATTCAAGATTTTAAAGTCTTCAATTTACTCTACTGAAGGGAAACTTCATTGCGACATCGCAACACTTCACAAGGCGCAGCTATAAAATTGTTTTTTTTTTGAGTCAGGAGCAAGAACAAACCAATTTTTATGCCTAAATGAAAAGTTTCACTTTTAACCGTCCATATTTGTTCTCTTTCAGCAAATGTGAACAATAATTTTTTTCAAATAAGAACAATCAAGGTTGTTGTCTTCATCCCCACACAATGGCCGGCTTGTGAAGTGAGACCAATGCACAACAATAGTTTTCACTATTAAAAAAATGCTGTGATCACAAGTAGTTCTAAAATAACTGTAACAGAACATTTAAAAGTTGTGTTTCCTACAAATTTCCACTATGCCACTCAGCAAAACACAATTGTTCACCCGCATTTGGCAACACAAAGGAATGCCACACTGTTCACATGTGTAAGACATTTCAAAGGTGTGGCCTTCATTCCTTTTTCTGCCAACCTTTGTGCACATGGCACAAGCTTTCTTCCTGCCCTCAAGTTTTCCCAGAAAATGGCCACTTAAGTTTTCCTCCGTTGTCACAGTCTTTACAGCACGTTTCCCACAATTAGATGGATGTTTATATCCATTGTAGCTGACAATAAGGAGCTTCGCTAATTCTCGGCGAAAGTCAAGTTGGTGTCACTTCTTCCTGCCAGCTAGTTTTTCCAGGATGTAAGCATTCACCATTGACAAGTTCACAAAAAACCAGAGCAAATATTTCCACCATTTGCGAGAAGTTGTCCCAGGTGGATAATAGCTCTGATGTTGGCCATTTACATTGACCCCATTCATTCCTCCATTACAAACATCTACAACATCGGGCTTTTTCATTACATCAGCTGGGACCACTCACCTTCGACACCCGCAAATGACTTGCTGTATTGCATAAATTTCTGGTTCAGGGAAGTGTTGGTCAATAGTAAAGATACAATACGTTTGTCTCTCCACATCGTAGCAACTAAATTCCCAATCTGATGGGTTCATACTTTGCCTCGAATGAGCTTCATTTGCTTCAAGTCAGATGGGTAGTCTTTCCTGTCAGTGCGAATGGTGCTGCAAGCGTAGGTGTTTCTTGCCTGCAAGTCTCACATCTAATCAGCAGATGTGAAGAAATTATCAAAGAAAAAATGCCGATCATTATCCAAATAGGGCTCCAACACGAATGTAGCACGACTTCGTTTGGGATGTGGAATTGAATCCAGTTGAATAAAATAGTCGCTGCAGAAAACCAAACTTAAAAATAAAACAATGGTTTAATGAACTTTTAAAATGTATCTAAGGTATTTATAATTTCTGAATTGAGTTTGGCACAGCAGTAATGTGACGTTTGAAAGCAAGTCAAGCTCCTGCTCGTTCTAAAGTCGAATTTAATTTGATCAAAGTATTTCGGCACGTTTGAAATGGGCCTAATAAATTTAATATATCTTGTAACATTCAGTCTTTGCTTTTAAAGTTGCAATTTCTTTTTTTTTTAACTGTAACCAACGTAATATATTTCTAAAGACACGCATGACTGATGTCTTTTCTTAAACCTTTTGCAACTTTCATACAAATTGCTATATTTTTTAATTTTTTGAATTGTAACACCCATGTAATTTTCGAATCAATAATGTAAATCTGATGTGTTTTCTTAAACCCAGTTTTTGCTAAGAGTGCTGGCAACGTTTCCGACAAGTTGCCATTTCTTTGAATTGTAACCAACAAATATTTCTCAATACATGTATACCTGATGTTGGTAAGAAACACAACCCGACCAATATTACAATGACAAAAAAAACAAATCACCAGGCAAAAAAAAAAACACAAATATACACAAATAAGCTAACTGAAATAGAATGGTTAGATAATTTCAAAAAAGGGATCGAAATAAAATTAAAACTAATAACCATACAATGGAAATTGTAAAAGTAAGGGAAATACAGTTACAATTACCTCCCACTGATTATTATTGGTGCCTTTGTACATTTGCAAGGGAGTCACCGTTTGAGGCTCTGGCTCTGTTCTATTTTGAAATAGCTCCGGCTCTGTTCTATTTTGAAATAGCTCCGGCTCTGGAAGGTTGCATCTTCGTACTTTATTGAGAGGGGATGCCTTCAGACCAACAGCACTTGGCTTCTTGTACCTGTTGTAAGATTTGGGGGTAAATTGCTGGTGCTGGGGACCCCATTTATTCCAGGACCAAGGTGATATTTGCCCAAACCTCTTAGGGCTCTTTCTTCCTCTGCGTAGAATTCTTTGGTCCAACCTTCCAGTGTTTCTGTCACTCTGGTGACTTCTCTTGGCATTTCGCCTTACCATAAGCATTTCTTTTGTAGCTTATGTTTCAATTCAAGCCCCTTGGTGTAGAAACGCCCACTTAGCCCAAGTTGTTGGCGTGCTGAATAAATTAGGCAGGTCTTGAATTGCTCAGAGCAGTGCTTGTCAAATCATTCATGAAAACCTGGGACCAGGCCCTCCTACACATCCTTCAAGCTCGGCAAGACTGTTTTCTAATAGAATCTGTTCTTGACATCCATATGTCAACTGTAATTCTCCTCTGCGTCCTCTCATTACATCCCATTGCTTTCAGCTTTTGGGCATCTCATTCCTCCATGTGTTGTGTGCACCACAAATTTTGAGCCTCCTCAAAAATATTGCTCATGCCTTTGGCAATTGCCTTGTTAAGGTCATGAGCAGCCTTCTTGATTTTAATTAGCGCTGGCTTGGCAATTGTTATTTCCTGCGATAGGTTTCATGGTCCTTTTTAAAGTGCCAGAAACTAGGGCCCTGAAATTCAGGGTGCTTTCCGTTTGAGTGGTTAGGGCCTCATGACTGAAAGTGGTGTCTGTAAGCCACTAGTTCAAAGGTTGTGTCCACTTGCAATATACTGTTCCCAAGTACACAGAATCGGTGTACATCATCTAGCACATGTTCTGGAATATTTACACAAGAGTATTGTGTTTTAGTAGAGGACACAGTATCTATGCTCGGTATACTCTTAAGACTGGATATCGATGATTCCGCTTCACTGTGCTTCTGAGCAGTATCCCCTGTTTCTTCAGATGCTTTGTTATGGAACTTTCAGTTTTCCATCATTCTTGGTCCTGAGATAGTTTCACTTACGGTTTGACAAACTTGTTTTTACATTGTAGCATATATGTTATCAACAGACAGTCCTTGGTCTAGGTACTTGTCAATTGTCTCACAAAATATGGGGTCTTTCCAGAAAGCTGACACCATAGGTTTCATGGCATTACCATGACACTGCAAGATAAACTTTTTGGGTCCACCTGCCCACTTATACAGGACCAAATACTAAGGCTTCGGTCCTCATTCTTTGACTGCTTTAACTGTGACAATGGTCCCTGAAAATGACTTTTGGCTTTCTTCATTCTGTAATATGTGGTAAGTCTATAAACCTCATTTGGAACATAATCCTTTTTGTAGCCTTTGATGCTTTTATATTGGCAAAGAACGCCCCATTTTCTGAATGGCCTGTATGAGTAATGCTGTATTGGTAGAAGCGCTTTGCATTTCCTTTGGAAATGTATGCTCTATTGTCATCTAATTCTGCAGAAGCTATAGGTATAACCCTCTGATAGAGAGTAAATATCTTATCCTCCCTTAAAGCAGATTTGTGTTTTAAATCAAGTTGTTCAAGATTGTCAAGCAGGATGTTTAGGATGGTACAATGGTCCATATCTTCTGTTGTTGCCAAGCTTCTGAAAAAACAATACGTTTCTGTTTGAATTACCTAGTTTGGATAAGTTGTTATTTAATGCATATCGAGGACCATTTTTGAGGACCCCATTTTTGAAGTTCATGTATAAACGAGGGGTTTATGGAAACTGAAATGACTGACAAATGATATAAAAAAAAGATTGAATAAATGAATGAATTGATCAAGAAACACATGGATGAATGAATGTACAGAATACAATTAAAATATAAAATTGCATGGCATGTCAGTGGCATAAGCAATAACCAATGCTATGCGGTGTTTTACTGCGCTGTGCTATGTTATGTCATGCTATACCATCTCTTTCCATCCTAGCCTATCCTATCCTTTTCCATTCCATCTTATCCTTTCATAAACATTCTGCCAGCCTTATCCTTATTCTGTTCCATGCGGTTCTGCTTTAGTCTATAGTCTGTTGTGTTACGTTCAATTATTATTTATTCATGTATAATACTACGTGAAAAATTTCTGCAATTTGATTGGGTTATTCCTTAATTTGAAATAGTTACATGTGGAAGGTGCAAACCTTTTGCGGGTAATAGTATAAACAAATAATAGCATGATTTGTATGTGACATTTGTATAGGCAATAGCATGATTTGTAGTGATATTTGGCATAAATACCATGAGTGTTGTTTGGAAATTGTTGTGTGTAATTTCAAGCCGTTAGGCGAGTGAAATTTGAGACAATTTTGAAATATCATGAGTATTATTTATGCCAAATATCACTACAAATCATGCTATTACCTATAGCAATGGATTCACCTTAATCTTGTTTATCCAGTTTGATTCAAGGCCGCAACCTATTTGTAATAATATAACTAAATAGAACATGTTTGTTAGTCATAAGTATTAATTCATAGGCCACATAGACTTTCATAAACAGATAAACTCGTTAAATGACACATTTTTGTGTAATGCTTTGGCTGCGTTCAGTATAAAACACAGACGGTTAATTTTTGGACTCATTTCGTAGTCTTTGTTGCAGAGCTTTTTTTTTTAGGTCGCACAAAAATATTGAAGACACATGAAAAATTCAATATTGTCCTTTGAAAAAAATATAATTATCATTGTATGTTAAAAACTTTGCTTACAGTATTTCAGTTGTTTGTGTTTGCAGAACCTTCATTTATTGCATTATAATTTTCAGCGAACGGGAAAGCCTGCATTATGGCCGTTTTTTTGGGCAGGCAAAAGGTACTTGTTTGTGTTCAAAATTCCGTGGTCACTGATTTTTATTAGATCACTGAGGAGGACTGGGGAGAGTAGGAATAGCAACCCTTGGGGTGGTCATTAGGCAAAAGGGGAGGTAAGAAAAATTCAACATGGCGGTAACGCTAGCAGAAACGGCATTTGCGTACTCGAAGAAAACACCTGTAGTCTAGGCTACTTATGGGAGATATCTAATGGACAGTCCAAAGAAAACAGAAGTGACTAGTTTGACTTCGTTATATTTTAAAAACAAACGTTCCCAACAGGTCCGTGATTATGCAATTTTACAGTGAGATCAGAAAAAATTCATATTTTTGCTATTTATATATTTATATTCTGGAAATGACAGTGGATACAACAAGCATCCGTCTGTCTAGTGAGTCTACCTAAAGAAGTCAGTCGGCATTTTACTACCTAGTCTGTGGCCTGCATTTTATACTTAGTCCATGTTTTATACTGACCCGACTTTGGCTGTTAATCCTATAGCAGTTTCAAAAAATTTCAAGCATGTATGGAAAAGTCAACTTTCCGTGTAATTTGAAAGTTGCAAAGTTGAAAGTTACACCAAATACAACGGAGTCCTTTTTGCTTATTGTAACAACAAGCTCAAACAGTTACATACTTGTCTTTATCCATTAACAGAGGCTTGTTTTCTGTATCTTATTCCATCTGTGGATAAAATGAAATATTAGGAACAATAATAATTGTATCAATTCCAGCAACCTTGCTTTCACTCACTGCCTGCATAACAGGCACAAATAATAAAAGTAAAAGGCTACCAAAAAAAAACTGAATTTTCCACTGTAATGAATATTTAGTCAAAAATGTCGTCATCAACAGTGTCACCCATCTTAGTTTTCACAGCATAGAGTGTTAGTATTACAGGCCAAATGTAGCAATATTCAACTAATCCATTTTTCTATTCAACTATGAGTTTGATATTCAACTTTTATTCAACTTCCAATGTGTTGTTTTATATTCAACTCATTACTTGATATTCAACCATGTATTTAACATCCAACTGTTTATTTAACATTCAGCTTTTCATTCAACATTCAAATATTCATTCAACAATCAAATTTTCATTCAATCAATTATGCTTGAGCTCCCAATACATCTAGCCAGTTAAGCGCAATATTGCCCATTACAAACATGGCTGCAGCTGCTGTGTCCGTTGCAATGCAAACAGTCCATGAGGACAATCACACGATTCTTGACTTTAATGTGGAATTTGACCTGCCAAGGTTTCTTTCCTCTGTCCTTGATAAAACTGACCAGGTTTCTCGCACAAAAGGGGATCATGAAATTTTGGAGCAGGGTATCATCGTGGTCAATCAAACGGTTCGTTTGCTTCATACCCTCCGAGGTAGCAGCTCAAACATCAGTGCAGATGACGAAGAATATTTAAATAATCCCTCATCAGCTTTCTATGACATCTCATCTGCTCTGTGGCAATGTTTAGTCTTAGCATCTTTGCCTCCGTCTTTAGTTGCAACAATGTTTGTCCCATGGTAAAAAGTGATGGGGTCAGTAAGCCACCTTTTGATATTTCTGCAGAGTTGCTTGAAAACTTCCTTAGTTTGGGATTTAGTTACACTAGAATTTCGGAAATGTTGGGAGTGTCTCATTGGACTGTATCAAAGAGAATAAAAGACTGTGGTATAGGAGACCTTAAATCATTCAGTAAACTGTCTGACAATGAGTTCACCAAAGTTGTATGAGGTTATATAAGTGAACATGGACAAGTGGACAAGTGTGTCTTACAGGATATTTAAGATCCTTAGGATTGTGAGTAAAAAGAAGAAGGGTAAGGGGATGTTTAGTTCACCTGGACCCACAGAATAGAGCCTTGGGATGGGGAATTGTTGTTTCAAGAAGGGTCTACCGGGTACCATGGCCCAACTCTCTGTGGCATTTAGATCGCCATCACTCATTAATACACTACAAGCTCATCATTAATGGCTGTATAGATGGGTTTTCAAGACATATTATATATTTAAGGTGTAGTTCAAACAACTTAGCTGAGACTGTACTGAACTTGTCTATGAATGCCGTGGGCAGAGATGGTGACCATTGGCCATCAAGGATAAAAGTTGTCCGGGGAGTTGAGAACATACTCGTGTGTGATGCAATGGTTCAGTATCGAGGAGAATGGATGGCAAGTTTCATCGCTGGTTCCTCAACTCACAATCAAAGGATTGAATGTCTTTGGAGAGAGGTGTACCGATGCGTTTGTCACCTTTTTTACTATACTTTTTATGCTGTGGAATCATCAGGGCTTCTCAATGTGGAGGATCTGATTCAGCTCTTTGTATTGCATACCATTCTCATCCCAATCCTAAACTTCATAACCTGCCTCTCACTTGGTTTGCAATTACTAGTGCCTTTCAACTTTTCTATGGGAGGCCATATCAGTCAAAAGTGGTATGAGTTCACGACTGATGATCAAGAAATCAATCGCTATGGTTGAGTATATCGATTGGTGATTGAAAATGTCAATTGCTGTAATTGAGATTATCAATTGGTGATTGAGATTGTCAATCGCTGTGGTTGAGATTATCAGGTGCTGATTAAGAGTGATGGTCGCTATGGTCTAAAAAGCGATTGAATACCAAGACTGACGATTGCTATGGTTGAAAAAAAGATTGGTGTCTGAAAACGATCGTCCAGAGATTGACGATCCAGAACACCTACCACTATGATCGAGAAATCGAATTGCAGCTGAGAAATGGAAAGACCTGGTAATGAGAGAGGTATAGTTCACGTATTTAAACATGTAGAAGTATTCCAAGAACTTACTTTGTGATCTAAGATGGCGGCTGATGATCGAAGTAGTCAAGATATCAAGGAATTCCTTGACTCCACGAAACAATGCTTTGATGATGTGGATCAGGTGCTTCTATTCCATTAGACTACTTAGAGAGTAGGCTAGAGGACCATTTCTAAATTGTTAACGCAATAGCAATACAAGATAATGCCAGTGGTGATCTGAAGCAAACTGTTGAAGACCTGCTTTCATTTTAACAAAATTTGCTCCAGGAAATTCATGCCAAAAAGGTCCAGAGGGAAACAAACGGCATAAGGTCATCAGCTGGGGTTCCTTCTACACAAACCAGTACGGGAGGAAGGCTCAGATACAGGATAACCAAAGAAAAAATCGAGATTCCTTCTTCTAGTACACTCACAAGCTACATGTCCAGAGCTACCACAAGTGAAACAATCGTCATATCCCCCTCCTCCACACTCTTCACAACTGTGATAATCCCAACTTGGGTTCTTTGGCTGGTATCCACCTCCATGGCCTCTGTAGGGGGGTCGGCCCCAGTTTGGTTTTGCCACCTGATCACTGGGCATTGGCTCTACCTTTGAGGTCATGAATTTCTGATTTCATCTGCCGGATTTCAGAAAGAATCTGTTGGCTCCTGTCTGAACTTGGATTCCTGGCTCTCTGTTCTCCTCCCTCCTTGAAGACTTCACAAACATTCACTTTGGACCTTTTTTGGTGTTCAGTTGCCAATTTTGTGGTTCACTCATCTTGATGTGAAGCTGATTTATTAACTTGTTTCATAACTTCCTCAGGATACAAGGGGTTGTTCTTAAGTTGCTAACATATCATCATGAAGACCAGTTTTGAAGGAATTTGCAAATGTCCTCTGAATTGGCAAAAGGTCATAATTAAACTCACAATCCAATTCTTGACTGGCCAAATTTACCTTGTTACGCAGGTCCAAAGTAAGAAGTAGGAATTGCTGTGGTGACTCATTGCTTTGTTGGCATATGGTTGCTGTTGTATCCTCCTAATGCATATACTATGCCTTGGATTCGTACAGATAAGGTTTACACACTGACCGACCATGTGCTTTCTCTTTTATTACCTACCTCATATATGAGTACATGAAGCCTGTCTGCGCTCAGTACGTCATGTAATACATGACATCCCTCCTTTTCTTGAAGAGAGAAAACAATAGTCCTTAAGACTTAATCAAAACAAAACGTGCGAATCTGAAAATTGGACGGAGAGCTGGTAATAACTAATTCGCTTAATTTCAACACGAGATTCACCGGTTCTAAGCAGTCCTTGTATCAAAACAACATTTAACATTTCGAATCAAAGTTCACTGTTTCAAACGAAGTTCAACATTTTAAAACAAAGTCTTTATATCTCCCAGGGAGTCTCCTCTGTCTCTGAGGTCTTCCACCTTTTGGTGTTGCTGGTGGGCTAGGTACTGTTGCTTGATCAACTGCTGCATTCTTACTAGCAGAGGTTGTACCAGATTTGCTTCCTGCACTTGCTTGTGCTAAAGGTGTGAGATGAGTTAGGGGTCTACTGGGAGGTGTTGTAGGCACTACTGATGTAGATCCACTCATCACTTGATTTGGTACCACGGTAATTTCAGGTGTTGTCGGTACATCGACACTGACAGGTGGTTCTTCCGGATTGTCAGGGCTCACAAACTTCTTGACATGGGATGTATTCCTTGAATACTGCGTTCCACCTGGAGTTTCCACAACAACACTGTTACCGGTCTTGCTAACCACTTGGAATGGTACTGGATTAAATGGCGTGGAAAACTTGTCTCTTTTCTCTTGCCTCACCAGGACTTGATCACCAACTTGAACTTCTGATGGTTTTGCATTCATGGATTTATCAGCTATTACTTTGGTCTTTGCTTTCACTTCGGCATCTCTATCTCGAGTTTCCAGGTCCAAGTGATGGTCGGCATGTAGCTCTGGTAGCTTTCCTCTCATCTTTCTGTTAAACAATAATTCCGCAGGGCTCTTACCGGTTGTCGCGTGATCAATACCTCGGTATTTAGTCACATATTTTCTTAGCTCCTTCACCCAGTCTAATCCTTCGGCTTGGGCAATGCGGATTCTCTTCATCAGCGATGCATTTTGTCTCTCTACCTCCCCGTTGGCTTGAGGCCATTTTGGTGTGGTCTTGGTGTGAACAATTCCATTCTGCTTACAATATTCCCGGAATTCTTCGGAGCGGAATTGTGGACCATTGTCTGACTTTATGGTCAGAGGAAGGCCATGGCGGCTGAAAATCTCTTCCAGGTTGTCAATTACTTTCTCTGTGACGGTTGACATCATGATGGCGTACTCATAATAACGACTGTAGTAGTCCACAACAACAATGATTGAGTGTCCCGAAGGAAGTGGTCCTAGGAGGTCTATAGCTAGGTTTTGCCAAGGACCTTCTGGTAATGTCGTGGATCTCAATGGCTCAGGTGGGTCTGGGCGAGATACCAGTTGACATCCGTGACAGGACTTGCAGAATTTCTCTGCTGCCTTATCCATACAGGCCACCACACCTTACTTCTTAAATTTTGCTTTGTTCCCACAATTCCTAGGTGTCCTTCATGGGCTAAGCTGATTGCCTGAGCTCTGAGTTTGTTTGGTAACACAATACGGGTACCTCTCAAGACTAGCTGTCCAATCACACACAGTTCTCCTGCGGCTGGTGCATAGTTTTTGCACTTCTCAAATCTGCCAGTTTTAATTGCTTCTCTCAGGACTTTTAATTCTTCATCTGTTGCAGATGCTTCTTCGACTTCTCTCGTGGTTAATGCTTGGGGAGTGGCACTGATAGCTGCGAATCGGATGTACTCTTCTGCCCCATGTGGATGACT